AAAATCCAAATAGTTTAGTCACTTAACAATCTTTATAGTTTTTCCTCTGGCTATAAACAGCTCATTTTCCAATTTCCCCGTTTTACCGCGATCTTCTGCCCGAGTGGACCGACACTTGATGCGTGCTTTTCGACTGGCGATTGCAGTTCTTCACATTTCATCCTTCGTTTGCGTTTCGTCAACTTTTTTTTCTGCGGTCTCCCCTCATTTTCCTCTCGCTAGTTTAAGCGGCCTGTTCACTTGTCCGAGCAATCGATTCTTCATCGAATCGTTTCAAAACTGAGTCGAGGAAATACTGTCTTGGAGAAAAGAATAAATAAAATGTTATATTGAACCTGCCCACTTCCACTTCCAGTAACACAAACTAGAAACATGCGCAGACGCACACGTGAAGATACGCTTACTTACGCCCAAGCACACCCCTCCCTATTAAATTTTCCAAAGAGTTTTACTCTTGAGACCAGACATGTAACGTATACAGTGGAACAAGAAAATCCAACAGTTAAAAGGAAATAGTTATAACATCAAATATGCCGATGACACAATTTTAATGGCAGATTCAGAAAACTACTTTCGATTGGTTATAGACACTGTGGGCACGGAGAATGTATGTATTGGTCATTTTAATTGTAAAGAAAACAAAACGCCTGGTAATGTCTACCCCCCCTCCCTCCTAAAAACAAACAAACAAACAAACTCCCAGTAAACTAAAAGTAAGAATTGTAATAGCGAAAGACAACTTCAATAACTTGACTCAATCCCCAACAAATATCCGAAATAAAAGTTTTAATATGCCGTGTGTAGAAACCCTTGTGTGAATGCTGGGGAAAAAACTTATAAAAAATAGTGGAAATAAGATGGAAGCAACAGGAAACTAGCTTTTTTGGAAGTACTTTCATGAAGCAAAAGAATCCCACCTGGATGCCTCTCACCAATTTTTAAAAAAAGAAGAGAAACTGCAGTTTCTGTAACAAGTCGACATAACGGCGGCTTCTCAGTTGGGAAATAGAAGGCAAACGAGGCTTAGGTAGACCAAATAACAACCTACTTAAAGAACGCGATCTCTTGAGTGGCGGGGAAAGACCGAGATTACATAGTTGTTTCCTTTTTAGGGGGGCAAACGTTGCAGGGGTAGACACAGAACAACCTACCTAGAGAGCACGGTTTAAGATCAGAATAAAGGGGGGGTCTTTAGAGTATCCGAACAAAGAAATGATTGGTGAAACATGATCGCCGATATTTGTTTCAGATCCGGCACAACATAATATGCTGATGATGAGCTCCGTCTGTCTGCTGAAAAATTGCGCCCCTCTTAGTCTGAGTTGGTCCAGGCAGACAGGGTTGCTTCGGCCCGCCTCCTTAATGATCTAAATTGCGTCGATTGGGGAGTAAAACACTTATGGCTACAATTACAATTCCATACCGTACAATGCTCAGTCTATACAGAAACTATCACCAACATGCCATTGCTGATTGCCAGTGAGCAGCATTCTATTTGGTCATGGTGTTTTGATCAAGGACACACCGTAGTGAACAGCATCTAAAACCTGTGTCCGCACAAAATACATGAACTAATCTTTAAACCTCTAAGAATGACATCGACAAAGACAGGCACACTTGCTTTCTGCCCACGGAATCATATTAATTTAATCAAATTGGCATCAATTTAGAAAAACAATACTAACAAGAAAAGATGTCAAGAGACAAATGTTTCGAAATTGGATAACTGTGCGACCGCCCTAACCTCTCCACTTTGGCCATGTGTGTGGGAGGATGAAGAGGGGTGGAAAGGTGGAACCTTGTTAGCAAAAACTCATGGAGTAACTGATAGAGGCAACAGAAGGATAATTATTTATAGCAAGGAAAGACAGACTGATCACAACAGATAAACAAAGAGTATTTTAGGAGACTGCTGCGTCCACAAAAAGACAGGAGGAATTTATGTCATGTATTATGGTCAACCACCCACTTCGAGCACTAAAAAAGTGCCTCTACGTCTTTCCCATTTTCCTAAATGGTGCTGAGACCTGGAATTAAACAAAACATAATATGCGTATGAGATGTGGTGCTATCGCAGAATGATTAAAATCAGCTGGAAAGCAAAAGAAAGAAAAAAACGAAGACAAACAAGGTGTTTGTTTGATTTTCCATACAAGACAAACCCTGTCAAACAAAATGAAAAGTAGAAAAATACACTACTTTGGGCATATAAATCGCCACTAGACCATAATGAAAGAAATACTCGAAGACAAGCTATGGAACACAAGGGGTGTGGGTAGAGAACGCACAATGTGGACTTGATTACATAATATTATGACAAAATGCACGATATGAGGTAGTGACTTTAGCTAATGGCGGGTTATTACACGTCAGCCTCTGAGCCTGAGATGACACCTGGCGGAGGTTCCATTAGACCAATTGGTATGTGTGGTATCGTGCTGATATTAGGCGCTCGTTAAAGCAAGGAAATTGAAGAAACCAACATTTTTCCCACCTGTTGGGCAATTTTCATCGACTTTTCTGGGCTCAATAAGTTCCATGTCCATTTAAAACACATTCCTGTGTGGATTTTTACTGGAAAAACGTTTAACTAAGGCCCAAAACAATTTGCAGTCTCCAAAGATACTGTAGTTTGGAAGTCCCCAAACCTTGGCGGACATTTTCTCTCGATTTTACCTCCTACACCAGACGACCCCCCCCCCCTTACCCCTTTCAAATAGCAAATTTTAATATTATGACATCTGTTCATGATTGATGGCTAATTGTTTAATTAAAAGCAAGGCAAACGAACAGGCTTTCCACTTAAACCAATAAGCTCATGTATATATTATACCAAAAAATGGACGAGCGCTTGATTCCACAGTGTCGTGACACATATTATCATGCTGGACTAAGGAGCGGATGGCCCCGGCCCGAATCCCGTATTGGGCGTTCTTGAATTCGGCTTGTATTGGGGCGTTTTCAAGGCTTTCATCCAAAATGACTCTCTTCTATCGGGGATGGACTTTGGAATTCGGAGGTCCTGCCTCTTCAAAAGCTAGTAGTGTTGATAGGGGCATTTACTTGCACTTTGCTACAGTTAACGTCTCCAGGTATTCCAGGTAATAATAAATCCAGATTATAAGATCATCGTCAATACGACTAAGCAAAGCGGGTGGACTAGAGCTTTGAAGAGTGTCTTCATTTGAAAACGTTTGTTTTTCATGTTCATCGTTATGGCGTTATAGTTTCTAAATGGTGTATGGGGTTTTTTTTTGGTGGGAAAGGCAGGATAAGACCATTGTTGACTCATGAAATACCATTTAACGGAAGCCACTGCCAAGTTCCCACCACCCTCTCCTCATCCCCACTTCAAGGAGATCGTTTTGGGATTTTTTATTTCCTACCATTGACTAACGTCTGACGCACCTACCTATTCCGTCTTTTCTCTCTATCCAGCACTTTGCGTTCACCATAAATCAACTGACAAAACAATAGACATAAGCTAAGATTTGAGAAGGGGAGGTTTTGTTTTGTGTTGGGGTATTTTTGGCTTTTTCTTCCCCTCAGGTTTTTGTTTGCTGTGAGGTTTTTTTTTCTCATAGAAGGGGGGGGGGGGGGGGGAGAATCATTGGAAAAGAAATACATATGAAACTAGCAAATGATGCAAAAGCAAGATTCCACCAAATGCAGAAATTATTTACATCATGGAGTGTTACACTTTCTCCATTTTTCTGTATGGCACTGATGTCTGGACTTCAACATAGAAATGAGAAAACAAAATTTATATCCGCCTATGATATGTGGTGCTAATACAAAAAGGTCAGATGTCAGAAAAAAAAATAAGAAGACAAAAAATGAGATGTGCCAGATTCTCCACACAAGAGAAACCCTGCTAAACAAAATGAAAATGATAAAAATGCAATAGTTTGGTCATATAATACACCACCAAACCATGATGAAGAAAATACTCGAAGGCAAGCTGTGGGGCAAAAAGGAGGAAGTATGACAAAGTGTATAACGGAAGCTAGTGACCGTAAGCACTTAACTTGTGAGTCATTAAACTCCAACCTCTGAGCCAGAAATGACAGCCCCAGGTATCCAGGTATGTACCACGGGAATGTTATCTGGAGGTATCTCACCATTAGCCCTTCTTATTTTACAGATTTTAAAAGACCCTTCACCGGCGTCTGTGGCGTAACAGTTAGGTGTTTCGGCGTGGCACGCGAGAGATTCGAGTTTGATTCCAGAGTACGGACAATAATTTCCATCGAGCACCCGGTATCACGACATTTCTGCTGGTAAGTTGTATCCCTCTCAAAAGATTTATCCTTGAAAACTTAAACTGTATGAAATGGATTTTAAACCTTTTCAATTTCACTCCAATAGCATTTCTACTGATTCGGAACGTTTTCAGAATTCTTTGAAAGGATGTAAGTATTGTTTGTTCGGACTGTAACCTGTCGCGTCAATATGCATAGAATACATGGTAGAAAGAGTGCAACAACGGACCAGTCTGTATAGTTATACATTTAAAGCACATTTATGGTCCTTCAAGATCCTTCAACGTCTGTGTTTTAGCTTCCAAGAATATTCGCCATTGTTCGCAGAAGACGAAATCCAAGTCCCACTTCGAGAATTTTTTTTTTTTTAAATTAATTGAGTATCCCCATCTTTCTGCCAGGATGCTGTGTCCTGTTCAGCCCGGGTTCCCCCTAGCAGTCAGGCTCGAAGCAACCCGCCTCCTAACTTATCTAGTTTTGTAGATGGGGGCGTAAAACGTTTACGATCAATCAGCCTTCAAGATCTGTATCCCAAAGACGATAATATGTTATGGCCCTAATCACATCACCGCCCACCCATTCGCCCGCTCACGGCGCGCACAAACTCACTTTTGTCGGTCTTTCATCCTCGTCGAGGGGGTGGGGAGGGGGGAGAGTCACTGCACACGAAATGCGCGCGCGCGCGCGTGCAGCAACCGAGTGCGGTGGTTTCGGCGCGTCCCAAGCTCGGCGGTGATGTGACGGCAAATAGCTCACGAGGGAGGTATACGGGATCACGCAGGCTACACAAACCGTGTTCACTGTCGGCGTGAAGGCGCGTGTGGGAGGAACAGAGAGTGGGCGGCCTTGGATGGAAGCGACTGGCGTCCGCGATTCCACACAGACGGGAGGTCATTCGGGGTGCTGGGCGACGACACTGACCGTTGCAGGTTTGCTATCTTTTTTGCTGCTTCTCTTTTATAAGTTTTGTTGTTTTGCTCTGCTCAGTTTGAGTAAAAAGACGTATATCAGAGTCTTCGGAAAAAAAAGGAAGAGGAAAAACAAGTAGGACCTACCACTGGTGCCCTCAAACAACACGCGTGCTTTCCCTAAGGCAAGGAGAGAAAAAAAAACTTTTTCAGTTAGTAGGGATATGCGCAACAGTATGTGAAACTTCGATTTTATTGTTGGTTTTTCTTTGACAGTAAAGAAATTGTACAAGAAGCATACGACGCCTATTTTTGAAAAAATAGAAGTGAAAAAAAGGTATCACTGTTTCTGTCATACTAGTTAAGCTTTTCTCTTTCTAAACAAAATAATCTGCTTCATGATGAGGACATACTATTTCTAAACAGAATTGTGTCCTTTGGGTCATAAGATATTTACGAATAAGGAGGGAAAATAGATCTAGTCTCTTTTGGCGGAAGGCTTCAAAAACGTCTTGGAAACCACCATCGCAGAGTTCATCATTATTCACTGGCCATTTCTACTAGATGCTCCAGATTTTTTCAGTGAGTTCTCCTTGTGGAAATGTCATTTTAACCAAAAAAGTTTTAATGATTCTTGTAAAGGGCAAGGAACTTTGGTAGGTTGTTAGTATGTTTAGATGTTCCACGCTCTCCTAGTCACAATTTGGATTCTTTGAGATGTCAGAATCTTCAACTCTACTTGCCAGGGCCAATTCGGGGACGAGGCAGAAAGGGCTAAGATATTGAATAAAATTGACAGACTTTCTTATGTAAGTGGATATACACTGTTAACGCCGATCTATGAACGTCAGAGAGATCCGAACCTTTTTTTTAACGGGTGGTGTTCAAAGTGATCAGTATCTTGACCAAAATTATCTCTCATTTCGGCTTCTTCATGGTGAATCATATGTGTATCGATACAACAATTTTTGGTGAGAAGCTATTGCTATCTACAAGATTAAAAGACGCCCTCTTTCGATGAAAGAGATGGTCGGTACATTAACATCAACTGAAAGTCATTGGCCTACTACCTCGACCGTTGCGTGCGCGAGGGGTTCCAACTGACTGCAGAACGTCGTTTTCTTTTCGACATGGTCAGGCGCTGTCTAGATCTAGATCTAGATCTAGATTCTAATCTAACTCTAAGACCTGTTGACGTTGTTCTCAGTGGCAAGAAAAAGAATTTGACAAAGGAGTCCACGATGGGCATCAAACGAAAGGATCACAGTCGAATTTAGCACCAAGTAAAAGAAGAAAACATTAGGATAGATCTATACGGGCCGCACACTTAAAATAATGCTCAGTATTGCGCGACAATGCTCGAAAGTATCGAACGGAAGTACGACTTGAAATACACAAACCTGGCGGATTTTCTTAATTTACAGACAAATCGGCCTACAAAAGCGATCGGCGAAATAAAGAAATTTAGCTTTTTGCAGCAAAACTGTCTCAAGACTGAAAAAACAAGGGGCTTCATGATCTGGAGAATATTTTAAAGAATCTTTTGGCGAAAACCGCATGTCGATCGATGAAGCCATTAAAAAGCCTTTTGAATAGCAAAATTCGGCCACCACAAATAGATAATAGATGAATGTTGATGCAGGGCGGCATCCATAATTACTAGGATGGATTAGAGTGTAAGGCAAGTAGCCATCTTGTGGTTAAGGTATTAACTTCAGCCATAAAATTAAAACACATAATCAACCAATTGCACGTCTACTTTCAAAACAACCATTGCTGTTTCATGTGACACGTCACTCTTAGTTATATTATGACGTTGCATAGAATTATTTGTACTGAGGAGAAAACAAGATTGAGTTCACAAAAGAAAACACCACTTTCTTCATCTTCATGTGCTGAATTCTTAGCAAATCGCCAAAACTGATTCATGAAAATGTTTAAAATGTTTGAGGAAGAATCTGTTTCTTCATAACTTGTCGTTGGGTAAGAGAATTAAGTGAAAGTAGCGACACTACTTTTGATGACCCACTGTCTGGCTGCCAAAACTTCCTCAGTGAACGACAAAACCTTTGATGCTATTCGGAACTATGTATAAGATCCTCTCGTCTCTCTACAAGAACTTAGTAACCTGTTTGGACTTTTGTTTGGGTCAGTGCGAACTTTTACTGGTGGAGAACACTTTAAGAAAAAAGTGTATGCCTGTTGGATACCCCATTTTCTATGTGAGGAACAAAGAGAGAGAGAGAGAGAGAGAGAGAGAGAGAGAGAGAGAGAGAGAGAGAGATAGAAGGAGAGAGAGGGGAAGAGAGCAAGAGAAAGAGAAAGAGAAAGAGAGAGTGATAGAGAGAGAGAAAGATAGAGAGATTGAGAGGGAGGGGGAGAGGGAGAGAGAGAGAGAGAGAGAGAGACAGAGAGAGACAGAGAGAGACAGAGAGAGAGAGACAGAGAGAGACAGAGAGAGAGACAGAGAGAGACAGAGAGAGAGACAGACAGAGAGAGAGAGAGAGAGAGAGAGAGAGAGAGAGAGAGAGGATGAGATGTGCCACAAAATTGCTCAACATGTTTGAACTCCTTATGGGCCCAGGCGACTTAAATCATCGACATGACAGATGAAACTTGGACTCTTCTTATCAGATCTAGAATTCCACCAAAACAGCTGGATCGCATGTGGATGAACGAGAAAGGAGACGGGCCTATCGTTTAGCTTCCAGGATTTCAAAGCAGAGTGTGGCGTTCATCGTGGCCCCCTTGTAGTTTATATCATGTAAATTAACTCTACTATGACTTCTTCTCCATTCGTGCAAAAGGTACAACCCCAGATGAAAAAGTATTGTTGATAAACTGGTCGGAATCTCTAGCACGATGTTTCTTCTCGACAATACAGTTCTCCACGAAGTAAGTGCCACAGTTATGTGCATACAATAATTGCAAGAGATCCAAGATTAGCCCTCTCTGGCCCACAGCACTGACCTGACATCCCGTGACTTCTAGTTATTTCCTATTCTGACAGATAGGCTTGCTGCACGAAAGTTTGAACGTAAACAGGATCCAGCAAGAGCTGTCAATTTGGAGCCGTGAAGCACTCCAGAAGTGGCTGTGGAGGCTGGAGTCCAACCTATAAAATCTTTTTAAAATATCTCAAGGGACTGGTTCAATGTTTGAGGTCCACAGGACTAAACGTATTCTAAAACATTTTGTTAAAAGATATTCCACAACTTTGATTTCCTTTTGATATACCGATGTATTTTATACCATTATATATCCAATAAATCTGCCAAGCATCACACCACTCTTCTCGTCATCATCATGAGGTACCATACGTTATGGAGCAGACTCTGACGATCGTGATTCTCCTTTCATTTCTTTGCTGAAGATGCCCTAAAAACTTATACCAAGTGTCTAAAAAAAAACCAATCCATTTAAAAAGAGCTAATTTTACCTGTGGACAAATTTCAGCAAAACTTCGAACAAATAAAATGTGAGGCAGCGTGATGGAATCAGGCTCTCGTCAATTTTTGGGCATGTACAGATATCATCTTAAAGTTTATTTACTTGTCTTTATTTGCATGAAAAAAATATCCATTTATCTTGAATACAAGTCGAGATATTTGCAAAAGAAGGAGGTGGGGGTCACCTGTTTTCAGAGGCAAAATTATTTCCTTAGTTTAAGAGTCCGTGGTAACTGAAAATTTACATTTTTTGTGCCTTTAATCAACGCTTTTCAGAAAAATCCACACAGAAATGAGTTCTTTTATGGGCATAAAAGGTGTTGAGCCAAAAAACCAAAAAGTTGATAAAAATTCACAAACCTGCGAAAAAATGCAAGTTTCTTCACTTTGATTATTTTGACGAGAGCCTGATTCCACCACGCTGCCTCACAAATGCACACTTGTCAATATGAAGGAAATGAACTGAAGTGTTCGAATGACATCAAATTTTAAAAATTTCAAGAGAAATTGAGTGAAACGCAAAACTTTGCTACTTCTTTAATGCCAATCATATTATTGTTCTGTTAGACACAATCTGTGTATTGAACAGCACATTCATGCACAGAGAGAGAGAGAGAGAGAGAGAGAGAGAGAGAGAGAGAGAGAGAGAGAGAGAGAGAGAGAGAGAGAGAGAAAGAGAGAGAGAGAGAGAGCGAGCGAGAGAGAGAGAGGGGGGGAAGGGAGGGAGACAGAGTTTATGCCCATGAACACATTATAAATATGGTTACGTATACGAGATTGAACTGTGGTTCGTTGCAAGTATATCATTGAACAGGAATGTACGGAATGCATTTCTTTGTTGATGCCGAATCTTTGTATTCATCGATGCTCTGGTATATCTACCCAAAATTTTCACTCATGTTTCTCTTATCTCATCTTATCTCATCTTATCTTATCTTATCTAATATTATCTTATCTTATCTTATCTTATGGACTCAACCCGCGTATCCAGTACAGTTTTAGTAAATCTCAAGATTTTGGCGATATTCCTGCATAACACAAAGGCAAAGCAAATTCATTTGGGGGGGGGAGCTTAGTTTTGTAACCCTGCTTTGTGGTGGAAATATCTATTCGTAGTGGAATTCGGTTGTTTTTATTTGCCAGGAGCATCACGTCCAGCTGTCAAACTTACAGGTTAATCTATTGGGCAGATTCACAAACAGTTATTATTTTTTGAGTGGGGTTACTTTTTTGGTCCCCTAAGAAGCATTGCTGTGAGGCATGCATTATTTCGTATGCTTAATTGGCTGCTGATACTCTGGCCCCTATCGACACCATTCGGATTATTAAGGAGTCGGGGTGTTTGGATCATGTCTGTGGGTGGTTGTCGGGTGTTCTGATGTGGTTTGTTTTTATCTTCGTATCAAACACTTTTAGTCTTTCTCTCCGCCTTGTTTTCTGTGTGTGTTACTTTCGGGTAAAATCTCTAATCTTCGGCATCTAAATGACCTAGTTGTGTTGCCAATGCCGCAAAACTCGCACTAAAACGACCCTGTCTGTCAGGACCAATCCGAACTAAGCGGCATATAGTATCACTATCAAGGGAAAATACTTCTCAAAGCGGGACCTGAACTCACGCATTTTACCTGCAATAGTGAAAACCCTAAATATTACACAACAGATGCAGGTCTTTAACATAATTCTGCTTTTTCTTGTGTCAGACGATGGCACAAAAGCATTAAATCATTGTCACAAAAGAGAAAATGGGTTTCCCCCGAAGTAGTCAAATTATAAATAAGCCCATGCACCAACGCCTGTGGTGTAATGGTTACACTCTTCGCTTTCCATGCCAAAGACCTGAGTTCAGATAATGAGTAGACAAGTTAATTTCATATTAACTTTCACTATTTAGCCTGTTCTTTTTGTGTTTCTCCTTCCAGATATTTAACAAGCACATTATCGCCAAGACCAGCCTCAACACGGGTGAGAAAGAGAGTGGAACGGAACAGTCGAGACAAAAGTGCAGAGGACATGACCTACTGACACACATATATCACGCATCTTGAACATCTGCAGACACTCAGACACATTTACACAGTCATACCCACATATTATATGCACACATACAAATCTCACTGAAATAAAGTCTGACATTAATAGGAACTTGATGGCTGCGTGGAGACTTTGACCGCCAAGCAAGATCACGTGACGTGTGAAGGCAACCACAAAACATTTCTTGCTTCTATTCAGCAGTTAGCATCAAGTTAGCCTGAAAACAAACAGACAAAAAACAAACAAACTAATAAACAAACAGCAGCAACAACAACAACAATAACAGTAATAATAATAGTAATAATAACAACAACAATAATAATAGTAATAATATTATAATAACAATAATAATAATAATAATAATAATAATAATAATAATAATAATAATAATAATAATAATAATAACAACACTAACCTAGATCCGGTTCCGTGTTTGCCAAATTTGACGTGACGTCATCTATCGAGAAGGATCTTACTCTTCAACATCAGAGAGAGCTCATTGGTCAGCAGCCGAGGAAGACCTGGCACTGTGTAGCAGCAGTACGAACAACAGCAGACTCAGTTGGAGAGGCCGCGGACATTTCAGCGAACAAGTAAGTTACTCTTGATATTATGTTATTTATTGTATTGTTGTATTGTTCCTGCTCTCGTTTGCCTCGGGAAGGCCATCGTCTGTGGCGCACAGTATCTATCCGGAGACGTCTCGGAGACGTCTCAAAATGTTTTGTGCCTCTGGACAAAGTTTTAAAAAATCTGGGGGGTTACTGGGGACATGCTCCCCTGTTTTAACCCATAATTTGATATTTTGCTTTCAGGTTTGAAATTTTCCTGAAATTACTTGATTTGCGACAGTTTTAATGGCTAGCAAAAAATACGCAGTTTGACCCCAAAGCAGTGCATTCTGCGTGCGGGAGTATATGACATTATCCGAATGGTTCCTGGGTGCTCGTCGAAGACGTCTCCGAATATCTTCTGCCTCTGAGGCGTAACAGTTATAAAGTTCTATCTTCTCAGTACCTCGTTGTGAGAAATTTGACGCTTAGAATTTTGAGTTGCACAATATACCAGGCTTTTACGAATGCAGCACTTTGAATGTCTTGATAACGGCTTGGAATATTCTAACGATTTTGATAGGTCAGAATTTGTTTGTTTCTGACACAAAACGCCCAAATATATCAGATAGAACTTTGTAATTCTAAGGAAGCGACGTGTCAGGAAGCTCTTCAAATGTGCCTGGTCCCAACAGCAACATTTGTAAGGGGAGAGGGAAAAAAACCGGTGTCATTCTTTTAACCAATGTAACTATACTTTGTATTTTTTCTTTGCTTTCTTTCCAATATAATTTAGAATTTGAATTTCGACAAAGTACTTCTGCAGCACGTGTAACTGCCACTACAAATTAAGAAACTGTAGTTAAATGAAGAACCAGGATCATATTGATAATAAGGATAATACTCATTAATAATAATAATAATAATACAGACGCGGGATTTCTGAAGTAAAAAAAAAACCGGGAAGCCTCTCAGTCTCTCATTAAATGCTTCCGCTCAAGTTATCCCCTGCAGCAAAAACAAGTTGACATCGAGTGACAACCAATGATTTTCTCATCTATTGGGTCACGACGCGGTGGAATCAGACGCTCGTCAGGTTTTGGGCACATGGAGCCTCTGGTATCATCTGAAAGCTTGTTTATTTGTCTTGTTTTGATTTAAAAATACTCATTTATTTTGAATAGAAGTTGGGATATTTGCGATTGAAGTAGATGGGGATCTCATTGTGTCAAGGGTCAAATTAGCACACAAAAAATGGCTGCCGCAGTTTAGTGGCTTCCAAAGCTTAAGAGGCATTGGAAACTGCAATTTTATATTTTTGTGCCCTTTTCCCAGTAAAATCAACATAGTAGTGATCGTTTAAACGGACATTAAAAAAGTGTTGGTCTTACAAGAAAAAACCCAAAAAACTCCAATATGTTTTTAAATCGATTTATATTGCCGCACGGGAGAAAAATGTCGATTTCTTCGATTATATTATTTTGATGAGCGAATGATTTCACCACGATGGCACACATTTGGGTTTTCTTTCCTCTGTTTTTTCTGTCTGTCGCAACTAACTTTGCTTTTCTCGGGCAAGCTTACACAAACATGATTTGTTTATTTTGTTAGCAGCGATAGATAATTGTATTTCCATGTATCATGTGTGTAGGTATATATATA